CTGTCCCCGTCGGCCCCGCCCCGCCCCTCCCCTCCGCCGCGACGGACCCGACACCCGGGCCCCGCGACGTCGGCCCCGCCCCGCCCCGGCCCGGCCCCGCCCCAGCGCCCGGACTGCGGTTCGGGGACCCCCTGCATCCCAGTCTGTACTTACATCTCCCTCTTCGCCCACTTTCTGTCAGTTTTCATCTTCTCCCTACTTCACTACGTTTTCTCTTTTCTCTCACTCCCCATGTATGTTCTCCCTTCGAGTTTCTGTCTCCTCTCTCTGTGGATAGATTTTTTCCTCTCTGGGGACACGTGGAGCTAAGCCTTTGCCTCTGGATTTGGGGAGAGTATGTGGGTTGGTGGCTGCATGGCTGGAAGCGTTTTAAGCGCCCGAGGCGCGCACCCTCTCGGGTGCTGGAATCAGCTTCAGTGCTCCTCCCCACCCTGCTCCGCCGGTTGCCCCCCAACCCTGGGGTGGAAGCCCAGGAAGGCGACGCCGCCCCTCCCGGCGCCCATCGGCCCAGGGAGGGCAGCTAGCTCCTGGGTGGGGTTTTGTCCTGGCCAGGACATAGCCTGAGAGTTAACCATGGGGTCCAGGTGCAAACCTCGTGGCGTGGTGTCATCTGAGGACACCTACGCGGCGGGAGGCAATCAAGGCTTCTCCAATGCCACGTTTCTCTGGACGGCCCCCGCGGGGATTGACAGCGGGTCTGAGTCACTGGCCTCCCCCAGACCTGCGGGAGGGGTGCGCTGCAGGCGATACGGTGGGCCCTGGGCGGGACAGCAGCAGGTCCTCTCCGCTGAACCTGAGTGCTGGGAGACCCCTTCTGGCAAGGTAGCCTGGGTTGGGGTTTGGCGGGTGTGCTGCTTTCCCAGCCCTTCCTGTTCTGCTTACTAAGCCAGGCCAGCTGCTAGTCTTGGTGTAAATCTGTGCGTGGGGTGAAATGTAACTCTTTAAACCCCCAGGGAGGGTCAACCCAAGAAACGACCCCTCCCCTCTTTTTGACTTTTGTATAAAACAAATATTATCGCACTTTGTAATGATAATTATAGTGCACTTTGTAATCTGTGGTCCATCACACAAACATAGCTTGGTCTTTTATACAGACATGGCGCACGGGATGGTATGTGTGCTTGCATGTGTGTCCCCTGAGGAACAGCTCTGGGAAGCGAGTCCTGAGTGTCAGATGGCATTGTGATTGGTGGCATTGGCTCAGTAGTGATTCAGAGGGACATGTGCAGCCAGGCGTCCTTCCCCCCCAGCCTTGGGATACCCAGGGCCAGACCCCACCCGCCTGTATGTGGATGAGAGATTTGCCTAAGAGTGCTGTGGAAGCCATTCAGAGCTGGTCCAGGGGCATGTGGACTAAAGCTGATGGATTTAATCTCTGGTTCTGCCCACTCCTGGAATCCCTGTGTATGAGTCTGGGGTGTCGTCCGGGACACATTCCTTTTTGTAAAAATATCTGCAGCCCTGATCACATGTCCTTGTCTCATGTGAGGTGGCGTCTCCTCAGTTTAAATGGTCACAGTTGTCTCTTACTGGGATGGGGAAAGAGGATATTTATTTCTTGGCATCTTTCTGAGACTCTCCCCTCCCTTCTCTAATGGCACTTGGAAGATTGGATGGGTTTTCTTTCTCCTAAACCTGTCAGCTTTTGAAGTGGCATGCTCTTGGGGGTCAGCATTATTACTCATAGACAAAGAGCAGAGACACAGCAAGAAGCAGTGGGAGGCCCGTGAGTCGCACACTTCCCTGCTCAGCGCTGGAATGGTGCCCTGCTGCTGTACCATCCCGGTGATGAATGTTTCTCACCCAACCTGCAGCTTTTTTCAAATACATCCATAACAAGGGGGGACCTATTGAATTTGTCATCAGCAGAATAGGCAGGAAGGGAGTTCTTGGCATGCAAGAGCTGGCTGTCCTCTCTCTCTGTCATTCCTAAAAACTGAGAGCCCCTGTGTTCCGGTCCCTACTTACTTGTGTGAGTTACATGCCCACTCAGTGCCTTAGTTTCTTTGTCTGTAAAGTAGGTTACTTTCCTGTCTGCGCAGTGACACTGGTGAGTCCCAGCAACAGTGCTTGGGACTTGGTAGTCAGTGCCTGGGGCTTGGTAGTCATTAAGTAAAACTTGCCTTGAGATGTGGAGCGAGGGGGTTGCCCTACACAGCAGGAAAAAAGATTTTTAAAGCACCAGACTTTATTTTTTCCCCTTAAATATGGTGGAATGAGACAAACGACCAGTTAGTCTTTGCTCAGGATTTAGAAGTCACTGCAGGACGTCTCATCTGAAGAAAAGTCCTTCTGATACTTAAATACTGCCAAGGAGATTTACATCCCTGATAGTATTCTAATATAAAGAAGACTGGTGGGTGGATATTCAAGAGAAATCCTGCCGGATCCTTGGTGCCCCCTTATAGCTTATAGCAGTGATTTTCAGCCACAGCTGCACATTAGAATCATTTAGTGGAGATTCTGGGGAAAAAAAACAATAAAAACTATATGGGAGCCTCACACTAAGTCAGAATTGCCCCAGGAAGTGGTGAGGCCAGCCTTTGAACTGTTTGCCTGGCTCTGGGCCTTTCCTCTGTCACCATGGAGCTCCTGCATTGGCTCCCAAGATTGTCACTGGATCACTACAATACTCAGTCCCCAGTGTTGGCTGAGACCACACAAGGCCATTCATTAGGTGTCAGATTACTCCGAGGTGAGATCATACTGAGACATTAGTTAAGTGTCAGGCAAAGAGACCAGAAGATGGTGACCCTGGAGCAGTGCAGAGGAGCAGTTCTGCACACCTCTCGAAGGCAGGCTCACTTCCATGCTGGCACGTGGTGTTACCCGAGCAGGCTGTGAGGGACAGCTGCTCTGAGGACGCCAGGAGAGAGTTTGTGTCCGGTAGATAACCATGTGTCCTGAATCTCCTTCCTTGCTGATGTTGCCTGCATCCTGGTCTCCCCACGGTCAGGCACATGAAGCCTGTTCTCCAAGAGACCTCCTTAGGGTGGCTGTGTAAAATTGCAGGGTCATAGCAGGTGTTCTGTGCAGCTTTGAATTTGCCCTGGCCTGGAGGGAGCAGGTCCAGGTGGTTACGGGGGATGTTCAGACACAACGTCTGTTCCCTTAACAGTAGTAGGAGATAGCCTTTCTTGGTCCACAGCACTGTCTGTTATAAACAGCCTCTTCCAATTTTTCCTCTTGAACTTGTAATTGAAGTATAACTCGTCTACTTGTAGAAAAGAACAGAACCAACATAACATCTTCTTTTGAGGTTAGCCTCTCACACAGTCTCTGGGTAGGAGGAAGCCTGCAGGAGGTGTGGGACCCACAGCAAAGCATCTTCCCAGCGGTTTACATTGCAGGGGTGCATTGTGGGCATCAGTGGGGGGAGGCAGGCCACTGTGGGCATCTGTCTGTGTGTTGCAGGCTGTCAGAGAGGTTAGTACCTTAATCCAGGAAGGAGAACAGGAAGTGGAGTCCAGGGGTGCCAGCCTCCCAGCCTTCCTGTGACAGATTGCGGCTTGCATGCCCTCCAGCCCACCTGCCTTTTTACCTGCAAGGAACAGGCAGGTGGCCAGTTTGCACTATCCGCTGATAGCAGGGTGCTCCTGGCTTGTGCACAGCTGGGTCTTGGCTAGGAGGTGTTGCTCAGCAACGCTGACCCTAGTTCATCCAGGACACTGACCTCAGTTTGAGACACTGCTGGGCTGTCTGTGCATCAGTCTCTGTCTGAGGGTAGCCAATGCATATGTCCCCCAGTAGGTGAGTGAGTGAATATAACAGCATTGCAGAGTTGAGGCTCAGCTCCTGGAACTTGGTGACTTTGAGTGCTCACTCAAGTGACCATGGCCTTGACCATGATGGCTATTTTAGCCGGACCCCTGACCTTCAGACTGCAGTGTGGGGGCTTAGACTGTTGAGGCAGGCGGGCCTCAAATGATTGCTTCCTTCCCTGGTAACACAGGGGCACTTGGGGACCCCGTTAGGCCTATTTAACTCGGCACCTAAATCTGACATCTAAATACACCTGAGTTTTAAAACTGTGCATGTGTGAAAAAGAAGTTACAATATTAAACATTTCAGTGAAATGAAGTGAGACCCACGTGTGTTACTTGGAAAATCTTGTGTTAAACTTAGCACCTCTCTTCCTAATCACAGCGCTGTTAGCAGGGGTCCAACCAGGGTGGTGAAAAAAGATGGAGGGGTGTGTCTCTTTTGATAGTAAAAGGAACCATTAAGAAGGCAAGAAGGGACTGGGGGTTGCAGAGGAAAAAACTTGAGATTGCTATCTCTTTGGGAAAGGGGTGGGGTGAGAGAATAAGATCCCAAGATTTTGTCTAAACCATTTGTGGATTCCTCAGTGGAGACCCTCATCCCACATGCTGCAGCTGCCAAACCCAGTGTGCAGGGGAAGGGAGGGGCGGTTTATTTGGGTTTGAAATTCAGCTTGAACTTTTGATCCAGGGTGTTTACTCTGCTGTGTCTTTATTGTTTTTGTTTTTTCCCTTCTGAAGTGTCTGCTGCCAGAGGAGATTTGTTCCTGCGATTAGCAGATAGACATAATCCCCGCTGTGATAAATCAGTCAGCCCCTGCCTTGGCCTGCTTGGCCTGGTTCCAGCAGGAGGTGTCGCGTGCCGTGTGCACAGCTGTGTGTGTGTCCATCTGTGTGTCTGATGCTCTTAGGAGCCTTGGGGTGGGGGTCTGCCTAGTACAGTGGGGGGTGGGCACTGGCCTGAGGGAAAGGTCTGTGGGTGGGGATTGTTTCCAAGCACAAGTGAGGAGCCTTAGTGGGTGCTGCCACTTTTCTGACGTGTCAATAGCACCTGCCAGGATGTTCTGCCCTGGGGACATCCAGAGGCCCCTTGGTGCCTGTTTTTGGTGCTCAGTCACCCTGGCTCACCCTGGCTCGCCCTGGGCAGCACCTGTTTTCGAGGAACCTGTTTGTCCCAGGAGCACTGGAAGGAATGCCAGCCGAGGGCTTTTAGCACCCCTGGAGTCTCTGACTCCCTGGCGGCCTTTCCTAGCTTCCCCTTCCTCCTCACTCTGCCTGCGGAGGTCACAGTGGTCCGCTAATATTAACAAAGACACAAGGGCCCTGTGCGTCTCACCTGCTTCCACCAGCCCCAGGCTCCAGGGATGTGCAGTTCCCTTCCCACATCCTTCCAGATACGGAATTGCATAGTGGTATTTGGACACTGATCTCAGTTTGAGACCCTGTGGGGCTGTCGGGCCTAAGGAGGGGCCTCTCTGTGGGGCAATGGCTCTCCCCTGTCCCTGCCCCCCGCTTACCATGGATGAGTCTCTGAGGGTAGCCTCTGCCCAGCCCTGTGGGAGGGCTTTAGACCTTCCCCAGTGGGCTGTGCCTGCCAGTGGCAAGGGCGGCTGGGCTGCCTGGCAGGAGTTAGCAGGTGGCCTCTGCTCCTGAGCTCTTGTCACTAGGACTTCAGAGTTGCCTGGGAGAGTGTCAGGGGCCAGGCGCAGCTGAGGAAGTGCTGGCCTTTCAGTGTCAGAGCAGGCTGCTTCCTGACAACCCCTCTTCCTGGTATTCTGTTTTGCTGAGAATCTGAGGGGTGGGGGCACGCTCTTTAGTAGTGGAGGCCAGGAGGGAGCCTGTGGGAGAGAGAGATAATGAGCGAGCATCTCTGGGTTTCCTGAGTGTGTGTATAGGGGTAGCATTCTGGGCCCCTGATCTGCTTTTATTTGATAAACTCTTACTCTTTAAAATGGCCTTTAAATATAGATATATTTTTAGGGAGGCCATCCACACCTCCTGTGTGGGGGTTCAGAAATTGTTTCTTGGCCTGTTGGGCATCCCACCAAGTCCCAGCTGGTGCCCCTCAGCCTATGTGTTGTATTTGGACCTTACCCCCATGTTAACCCCCCCACCATGTTAACCTGATGCCCCTCTGCTAACCACCCATGTTAACTTTACCCCCCTGTGCTAAGACCCCCATGTTAAACTCACCCCCCTCTACTAGCCCCATGTTGACTTCACCCCAGTCCCATGTTAATCTCATCCCACATGCTAACCGCCCTCTCCCCACTCCCCACCCATGTTAACCTCATCCCACTTGTGCTAACCCCATGTTAACCTGATCCCCCTGTGCTAAAGTTTCCCCCACTGTGTTAACCTCACCTCCCCTATGCTAAACACCCCTGTGTTAACCTCACCCCTGTGTTAAATTCCCCCCTCATGTTAACTTCAGCCACCTGTGCTAACCTGCTAACCGCCTCCCCCGCCCATGTTAATCTTATCACCCTGTGTTAAACTGCCCCCTGCACCCCCGTGTTGACCTCACCCTCCTGTGCTAAATCCCCCCCAGGAGTGAGTGCCTTCTACTGTGGCATCAGCAGCCAGGCTCCCTGCTGGTTTGGGGCCCTGGTATCAGGCTAGGAATTTGGAGCTGGGACTCTCTGCCAAATTTAATGTGATAGTGACATTGGGGGCAAGGTGTGAGTGGAAAGCTCTGGTCCTAGGGGCTGTGCTTCCATTGGGGGATAAAGTGCCAAGGGCTTTGGGTGAGGAATGAAATATAAACTTTAGTGAAATCCTTCTGGGTTTGTTGTTGGACCGGGACTCTGTCCCTGGACTTGGCTGCTTAGTGGGTGACACCCTTCTCCGTTGCTCTCCCCAGCCTGTGGGCCAAAGCTGACCAACTCCCCCACGGTGATCGTCATGGTGGGGCTCCCTGCCCGGGGCAAGACCTACATCTCCAAGAAGCTGACTCGCTACCTCAACTGGATCGGCGTCCCCACGAAAGGTGAGGCGGGCCCTGAGCCTGGGGCAGCCCCACTCCAAGCGCTGCCGTACCCCAGTGCTGCGTTCCTGGTTCTCACATCAGGACGGCTCCTGGGTGGGTCCCTCCTTTCATGGTGGGTCCAGGCCCACCTCCCATGCAGCCAGGTCCCTGCCACGTTCTGTCCATGCCTTGCCTTTTTTGTTGTTTCTCCCCCAACTGGCCACTCTCCTGTTTCCCACTCGTTCCCTAAATCTTGCCCAACTTGGATGTCACCTCCAAGCTTCTGAAGCTTTCTTTGACCGCCTCAGATGGAGAGTCTTTCCTTTAGATTTAGATTTCCGAGGGTGTCAGGTGTGACATCCCTGTACTGACAGGTGACCGCCATGTGCATCTCTGCCTGTCTTTCCTTCCAAGTGGGGTGTGTCTTGACCACAGGGGCTAGATGGTATTCTTGCTGCTGCCCATGTGCCCAGGGCAGTGCTGGGAACTCTGGCACGTGGTCCCCTGTCCCGGCCACTGTGCCTGCAGGAGAATGGCTGTCTGAGACCTGACAGAGGGCGTGGGACCCCACTTACTTTCTCATCAGTGGGTGGAAACAGGTTGTACCTGTTTTCACGAGACCCAGGCTGCCCCTGTTCCTAGGCTTGGTTTCTGGTCTACGATGTTCTGAGATTGGGGTTGAGGACAGGTTTGGGCAGTGTGGCCCGGCCTGGGAGGAGTGGGGCTGCTGCCCAGGTCCTCCCTCATCTGACTTGAGGCGGTGTTGGGAGCCGGTGGCCTTTCCCCTGGCTGAGCCGGTGCTCCGGTGTGCCCTGTCCCCTCAGTGTTCAACGTGGGCGAGTACCGCCGGGAGGCTGTGAAGCAGTACAGCTCCTACAACTTCTTCCGGCCCGACAACGAGGAGGCCATGAAAGTGCGCAGGTAAGGCCACTGCACTACAGGGGGCTCGGGACACGGCTCAGAAGCCAGTTCCGTGAGAGTCAGAGAAAGCTGGCCTGTGGTGTGGCCATCAGAGCTGGCCGGTGCAGGGATGGCCCCTGGCCTCTCTGAGACACGCTGCTCTGTCCTGTTCCCAGTGGTCCAGCTCAGTCAGTGGCAGATAGGTGGACAGTTGACAGCTGCTGTCCTGTCTTTTTCTCAGGAGCATCTGCTTGCATTTGAAAGGGACTCCTTGTTAACAGGAGGTGGTGAAACCCTCTAGGCATTTGGAGCTGGCTGCACATTCCATTCACCTGGGCAGTTGGTAGAGCTGCTGCTGCCAGGACCCGCCCTGTGCCAGCTCAGTGAGACTCTGGGTGGCTCTGGGCTCCTCGAGGGCACAGTTCCCCATACACCAGCATCACCTCCCAGGGTGCTTACAGCCACCCACACTGGTCCTTATTTGGGAAGCCTCTGGGCCCAAGGACAGTCTGGCCACCTCAGCCCAGCATGGAAGGCTTTGGACACAGAAGGGCTAGTCACTCTGTTGGGGCACGTAAGGGGGTGGCCTGGGCCTATGCTGATGTGCAGCCTCTTTTTTTTGTGTGCTGTAGGCAGTGTGCCTTAGCCGCCTTGAGAGATGTCAAGAGTTACCTGGCAAAGGAAGGTGGACAGATTGCAGTGAGTCTGAGGGATGCACCTGGTCCCAGAGCGGGGGGGTGTCCTTCCTCACTGGCCTGGGCGGTGCCAAGCGCCGTCGAGGGTTGCTGGGACAGGGACATGTGCCTCTGTCCCTCCTGGGGTGGAGGGAAGCAGAAGCCAGAGCTGCCATGACTTGGGATAGTGGTGGTGGGGTAGACTCGGGGCCTAGCCTCTCTGTGGGCAGCTGCCCCCTCTAGTGTGGGCAGGCCCTTCTGTGCGCCCCACACTGTACCGTCTGGTTGCTCTGGGGCTGGCCCTGAGTGCAGTGGGCAGCAGGTGCGCCCCTGAAGAGGCCTGTGGGTGCATATGCCCTGCCCTGGAAGTACATGTGGGGGCTCATTCCTGGAAGTGACAGGCCTGTCTTTGTTGCTGGTTTTGGTAAATGTCGTTGACTTCAAACTTAGTTTTTTCTTCCTGGCTCTGCTCTCTCCCCATGAGGTTTTTGATGCCACCAACACTACAAGAGAGAGGAGACACATGATCCTTCATTTTGCCAAAGAAAATGACTTCAAGGTGAGTCACACGTCCTGTCTTGCCCCAGAGAGCCTGGGAGAGAGGGAGGACAGGATCTCGGGACAACTGGTCCCCTGATTCCTTCTTGGTCCTTCACCTCCCCTGCCCTATTTTAGTGCCTAAAGTAGGGCCTTGCACAGGACTTGGGGGTTGGGAGGGGCTCTTGGGAGGGGAAGGTGCAGCAGTCAGGAGGTGGGTCTTTGATGTCCCTTCCCCCCATACGTGGTGATGACAGCACCCGGCACATTGGTGGCACAGTGGCCCTCGGCGGTGTTTATTCTTTTCTTATGTTCCTCCCTTCTTCTTTCAGGCCTTTTTCATTGAGTCTGTGTGTGACGACCCCACAGTTGTGGCCTCCAACATCATGGTAAGACCACCAGGGGCCCCACTCTCCTCGGGCACCTGAGGCCGTGGGGACATCTGTGGTCTGGGGAAGGGGTGGCTGGGTTGAGCTCAGAGAAGTAACTAAACTGTCAGAGTGAGCTGCTGTTGGTTGTGTCCTGAGGTCAGAAGTGCACAGCGGTGTCCAGCCCGGATGCCTGTCCTGTGATGGACCCACATCTTCAGAGACAGTGCTCAGGCTCAGTTGAAGCATAGGTGAGAAACAGGAGCTTGGCAGCCAGGTGTGGAGGGGACTGTCTCAACACGGGCAGCCCACCCCACCTCCCTGAGGAGACGGCAGGCTGATCTCTTGGTGTCGCAGCCCTGCTGGGTGAGGACACTTGTGCATTCACAAGCGGCTACAGGACTTGGTTGGCTGCAAGGCTCCCAAGTTCGGGAGGAAGGAGGGGCATGAGACTCTCCTCCTGTGCATGGTGGTGGGGGGAGCTTGCCCAGGTACACTGAGGGGACTTGGCAGTGACATCTGATTAATTCTGAAATGTTATCAGCTGATAGCAACATGTCATTCACGAGGAATGTCATGGCTCGGCGCCTGTGGCTCAATCGGCTAAGGCGCCAGCCACATACACCTAAGGTGGTGGGTTCAAATCCCCAGCCTGGGCCCGCCAAACAACAATGACGACTGCAACCAAAAAATGGCCAGGCGTTGTGGCGGGCGCCTGTGGTCCCAGCTACTTGGGAGGCAGAGGCAGGAGACTCGCTTGAGCCCAGGAGTTGGAGAGTTGGAGGTTGCTGTGAGCGTGATGCCATGGCACTCTACCCAGGGAGATAGCTTGAGGCTCCGTCTCAAAAAAAAAAAAAAAAAGAAAGAAAAAAAAGAGGAATGTCATTAGGGAGACTTAACACAGGTCACCTTCTCCCATCGGAGATCATTTTCTCTGGAGATGAATCCTATCAGAATAAGATCCATCTCTACAGAAAAGCGGTTCTGAACACCTGCGCAGCCACCGTTGTGGTGTGGCTTGTACAAGCGCACGTTTAAAGGGCACGCTAAGCCTGGCTGTATTTTCTCCCAAGCAGTGGAAACATTTACACGTATTTCTGAGAAGCACATTCACATTTCAGGAAGGGCTGTTTAAACTGTGAAAAATCAGTTCAGATTTGTTCATTGGGTCCAGAGGAAGAGGCTCAGTGGGGAAATAGAAATTGCCATCATCTGAACAAAAGGCTTTGCTGTGTGTCTCTGGCGTGGCCGTGCTTGTTCCCCAGTGAGTCGTCACCAATGTGCTTAGCAAGAAGCTTTGCGTCTGTCTGGGAGTCCGTTGACACAGTCATTTGCCCTGGCCCCTCATATCCAGAAATCTCTTTCTCTGATTAAACCTCAAAGCAAGTTTGCAGTTGGGCCCTGCAATTTGTGAACGCAGATACTTTGTTTTAATTAATTAATTTATTTATTATTTCAGAATATTACAGGGATACAGATATTTTGGTTACATAATTTGCTTTTGTACGGGTTGAGTGAAAGTTATCAGCATGCCCCTTACCCACCTAGGGTGCGTTCATACCTGACAGGTGACTTACCCCTCCCCACTCTGCCCTCCCACCCGCTTGATTTCCGATGAATGTTATTTCCCATATGTGCACGTAGGTGTTGATTGATTAGTTCCAATGTAATAATGAGCACGTGCAGTGCTGGGTTTTTCTTTCTTGTGATACTTAGAAGAGTGGTCTCTGGTTCTGTCCACGTTAATAGAAGAGGTATTAATTAGTTCATTTTTTTAATGGCTGAGTAGTACTCCATGGTATACATATACACATTTTATTAGTCTATTCATGTATCGATGGGCACTTGGGTTGTTTCTGCATCTTTGTGATTATGAGTTGTGCTGCTGTGAACATTTAAGTGCAAGTGTCTTTTTTATAAAATGTCTTTTTCTGCTTTGGGTAAATCTCCAGTAGTGGGATTGCTGGATCAAGGGGTGGGTCTACTTTTAGTTCTTGGAAGTGTCCCCACGTGACTTAGCATAGCGGTTATATTAGTTTGTGGTCCCATCAGCAGATATGTTGTTTCAGTGCCATAAAATGTACATGGCGTAATTTACCATCCTGACCATCTTCACGTGTGCAGTTCAGCTGCCCCGGTCCCACTGCTGTGGCTGGGCAGACTTCACCACACGCAGAACATTCTCATCTTTTCCACCTGACACTCTGTGCTTGGGGCACACTGATTCCCACCAACTCAGATCTTTGAAAGGTGGCAGTTGCCGATGAGAAAAAGAGCCACAGGCATTAAAATAGGCTGAATTTCCCTAAAACCTGCTGGGCTCCTCAGAACTTTTCAGCAATGGGCATTGGCAAACCCCAGTGTGGTTCCTGCCTGGGCTCCACCTAGGAGGGCAAGCCCTGGAGAGGAGAGGGCAGGGCTCTGGCTAGAGCAGATGACAGCAGACCCATCTGGGTGTCTGGGGTGGATCCTCGAGGGATGGGGGCATTGCCAGCAAGCGCCCCTTGTAACTAACCCACAGCCTCCTCTTGCTGCCTGTGCTCCTGAGCAGCTTGGCTGAGTGGAGGGTCAGGCTCGGTGGGGGTGACTCGGGTGCTGGCTTGATCCTAACTCCCTGGTCCATCCAGAGGAGTTTTCTGTGGCATCCTGTCTCCGCCTTTCTGACTGATGGTCTCCTGTCTCCCTGGGGCATCCTCCCCATGGACTGTCAATCCCTGGCCCCTCCCCGGGGTGCTTTCTCTTTTTCTCTTACATGCTGGGTAGGATAATCTTCATTCTGAGCCCTCGTGCTTTCCCCTTTTGAAGCCCCAAATCCTGCTTAATCTAAGCAGAAAGCCTTCCAGCGTGACTCATCAGCTGCCTCTTTGTGGCTTTACAGGAAGTTAAAATCTCCAGCCCGGATTACAAAGACTGCAACTCGGCAGAAGCCATGGACGACTTCATGAGGAGGATCGGCTGCTACGAGGCCAGCTACCAGCCCCTCGACCCCGACAAGTGGGACAGGTAACCCAGGGGCTGAGCCTGTCTGGGCGACCTGTCAGGGTTTTTCATGTTTTCTTAATGTTCCCGCAAAGCATTTGCTCCTGGAAACCTTTATAAACTCTCTTAAAAATGCTTTAAAAAAATTCCTCCATGACAAGCCACACTCAGTGGGAACGTTTCCGACCCTGTGTGGAAGGGCAGGGAGTAGACCTGGAGTGGAGCCTAATCTTGCTACCGACCCCTGATGGTTCCTTTATTCTCCCTCCCTTCTCCTGGGGGGAGGCCAGTGAGCCCTGAGGCAGATGGGCTGAGGGAGTCCCTGAGCTCACACTCCGACTCTTGAAAGGATACGGCTGGGATGTGCATGGCCCAGCCCCGGGTTCTTATTTCCTGGGGACCGGCATGGCTGGGGCTGGGCGTGCATACCACCGGGGCAGGCCTGACGCTGGTGCCCGCGGCCTCTCTCCCAGGGACTTGTCGCTGATCAAGGTGATCGACGTGGGCCGGCGGTTCCTGGTGAACAGGGTGCAGGACCACATGCAGAGCCGCATCGTGTACTACCTGATGAACATCCACGTGCAGCCGCGGGCCATCTACCTGTGCCGGCACGGCGAGAGTGAGCACAACCTGCAGGGCCGCATTGGCGGCGACTCGGGCCTGTCCAGCAGGGGCAAGAAGGTGGGGGCATGCTCCCTGCGCCTCAGCGTGCCGTGTGTGTGTGTGCGCGCGTGTGCGACCACGCCTGACCTAGGAAGGGCTGTGTAGAGAGGGCCTGTCCAGCAGGGGCAAGAAGGTAGGCGGGTGTGCTTGCTGCCGCCTCTATGCCCATGTGTGCTCGTGTGCCTGAGTGAGTGTGAGCTGGGAAGCACACTGGGGAGGGTGTGTCCTGGGGGCTGGCTATCCTGGGTGGCTGTCGGGTATACTGTCTCACCAGGACAGAGCACAGTCCCATGTGGACCCTGGGTCAGGTCCTCTCCTCCCCTGTGGGACTCTGGGTCAGGTCCTCTCCTCCCTGTGGGACTCTGGGTCAGGTCTTTTCCTCCCCTATGAGACCCTGGGTCAGGTTCTCTCCTCCCTTGTGGGACTCCAGGTCAGGTCTTTTCCTCCCCTATGAGACCCTGGGTCAGGTCCTCTCCTTCCCTGTGGGACCCTGGGTCAGGTCCTCTCCTCCCCTGTGGGACCCTGGGTCAGGTCCTCTCCTTCCCTGTGGGACCCTGGGTCAGGTCCTCTCCTCCCCTGTGGGACTCTGGGTCAGGTCCTCTCCTCCCCTGTGGGACCCTGGGTCAGGTCCTCTCCTCCCCTGTGGGACCCTGGGTCAGGTCCTCTCCTCCCCTGTGGGACCCTGGGTCAGGCCCTGTCCTTACGCCATCAGTTTGCCAGTGCCCTGAGCAAGTTCGTGGAGGAGCAGAACCTGAAGGACCTCCGGGTGTGGACCAGCCAGCTGAAGAGCACCATCCAGACAGCAGAGGCGCTGAAGCTGCCTTATGAGCAGTGGAAAGCACTTAACGAGATCGATGCTGTGAGTCCTGGGCAGGTGCAGCCAGGGGGGCCTCATCCTTGGGCATCTCAGGCCCTGTCCTGAGAGTCCTCACAGTGGCCAGCCAGGCTCCTCTGGGTGTGTGCCCTGAGAGACTGGTGGTGTCCCCACAGGGTGTATGTGAGGAGCTGACCTACGAGGAGATCAAGGACACCTACCCCGAGGAGTATGCGCTGCGTGAGCAGGACAAGTACTATTACCGCTACCCCACGGGGGAGGTGAGTGGGGGGCTTATAGATGGGTCAGATGGCTCTGGGAGCGGCCCCAGGAAAGCTGGGTTGTGTGTGTCTCAGGATGTGTAGACAGATGGCATGGGACAGAAAAGATGGCGTGGGCGACCCATGTAGATGGCCACCTGAGGGGGCTGCGAGTCTTGGTGCTGGTGCCCTGTCCTGGTGGGGGCCTTTCCCATGCACAGCAGCCTGCTGGCTGCCCAACAGAGTGTGGGGAGGATGCAGGCCTGGGCTCACCAGCATATCCTCCCTGCCTCCAGCCCCTATAGGCCTGCACGATGGCCTCTGGCCTCCTGCTGGACCTTGCCCACTGGGACCCCATGAAGGTGGCAGAAGCTTTGCTGGGTACAGCCCTGCTCTTTCTTGTCACGTTGTTTAATTGATATCAAATCTATATGGTGCAACATTCACCATTTTAACCATGTTAAAGAAGCAGTTCAGTAGTTTTAATATAGTCACCATGTGGGGCAGCCATCACCACAAACTCCAGGGCATTTCCCTGAGACCAGGGACAACCCAGACCTGCTGGCCCTCACCCTTCCCACACCAGCAGCCAGGACTCTGCTTCCTGAGTCTGCGAATTTGCCTATTCTGGGCATTCCATGTAGGTGGGCGGGGTCAGAGGCCATCGGAGGCCCATTTGTCCAGCCTTTTTCACATAGCATGAAGATGTCGAGGCCCATCTGTGTTGTAGCCTGGGCCAGGGCTCTGGCCATTCTGTAGCTGAGCTGTGTTCCCTGGTAGACTCCATGTTGATCAGCAGATTGATAAGAGGCTGACTTGGCTGAGCTCTCTGGCCTGCTTGACAGAGGCCTGTGGCCCGAGCTGCCCCCTGTGCTGACGTGGTGGCCGGCCCTCTGCTCAGTCCTACCAGGACCTGGTCCAGCGCCTGGAGCCCGTGATCATGGAGCTGGAGCGGCAGGAGAACGTGCTGGTCATCTGCCACCAGGCTGTCTTGCGCTGCCTGCTGGCCTATTTCCTGGACAAGAGTGCAGGTGCCACCACAGGCCATGGGGAGGAGGGGGGGTCTTGGGTCAGAGCAGCCCTTCTCCTCAGGCCCCTGTTGTGGCTTGTGATTAAACATTAAATTAGATGTTAAGCCTTATGTCTAAGTCCCTTGGAACCTCTGGGCACACTTGATTACAGAAGGGCTTTTTCCTCCTTAGTTCTGACTCATTTTGGGAGGGCGAGTTTGGGTTGTGCGCCTTCAAAAATGGTCTTTTTCAAGACTACCTGCCATGTGGGACACCCTGTGTGCCGGGCCTGGTGCACCCGCCCTGGCTGTACTTCTGAGGGTCCTTGAGTGGCTGAAGCTCTCATGCTGGGCCCGGGATGTCCTCTCTCCCTGCCCCGCTCAAGCCTCCTGTCTCACTGTGGTGCCCCGCTCTTTCAGAGGAGATGCCGTACCTGAAATGCCCCCTCCACACTGTCCTGAAGCTGACCCCTGTCGCTTACGGTGAGCAGCCAGCCCCGGGTGGTGGCTCCTGGTGGCTGTGGGCTGCAGGGAGGCAGCCTTTAACAGGAGCTGCCTTCCTCTCCATCTGTGCCCTCCAGGTTGCCGGGTGGAGTCCATCTACCTGAACGTGGAGTCGGTCAGCACCCACCGAGAGCGGTCAGAGGTGAGTGCAGGCCCTGTGGCATCTGTTTAGCTCTGTCTTGCACCAGCCCTCATGGAGCCAGGGACCCTTGGGAGGACCCGAGACTGGTGGCAGCAGAGGCCGGTCTGTGTGTCGCCTTGTGCCTGGCGGGCCAGGTCTTACTGTGCTTCTCAGGCTGAGCTTTTCTTTCCGTTCTCCCCACACTCTCCTCCCGTGTCTGCCTGTCCCGAGGAGTGAGTATTAAAGGGAGACACGTTTCCTGCCTGCAGACACACTGAGCTGGGTTCCTGTCACCTTTCCTTTCAGGCAGCTAAAACCGTGCTTTCAACTGGTTCAGGATCGGCACTCCAGCCGCGTCACCTGCATGCACTTAGGTACAGGACCAGAAGAGCACAGGCGTGTCGAGGAAGGCAGTGGTGCTGGAGAGCCAGGGCTGGGGTGGCGGAGGGAGGGTTCTAGGAGGTTTCGAGGCCTGGCAGCAGCCGTTTCCCTACCAAGAAAACCACAGATTTCCGTCTGACCCCAGGTGGCAGGTTGGGCTCCCGTGTAGCGTGAGTCATGGAGTGGGTTTAAGTCCCCTGTATTGGAGCCTTTGGGGTACAGTGCCCTGCTTCCTTACTGTGCTCAGAGCAGGGCTTTCTGTCTGTAGAGTCCCCACAACATGTGACTCCCTGTTCCCAAGGAGCTTGGCTGTTGGATTTGGTGTTAAGGGCAAGAGATGTCTACCTGGCTCCTGCTGGCCATCCCTCAGCTGGTAGCTCACCTTAAAGAGGATGGTGTCCCTCCTGGACCCGCCTGTCATGCACACCATTGCCTGCTGTGCTTCCCTTTGGTGTGTGTGGACAGCCCCAGCCAGGGAGCCGCTGCTCCAGCCAAGCCTGCTGTGCCTCCTTGTGGGAGGCCATTGCGTTGTCACTCACTGAGGCAGACTGGGCCCTGTAGGTTTCCTGCGTCTGGTCTCCATGCAGGTTTTGCAGCCTCTGTGTCTCATCCTCAGGCAGGGTACTGTTACACGAGCAGCTGTGCTCCGCAGACCCAGCCTTAGAGTTGGCAGCAGTGGGTCCATGCCGGCCTCTTTCCCACCCTGACAGCCTCAGACACAGGCCTCACCCTCAAGACTCCCTTCTGAGCTGTGGGAGGCAGGACGCCAGGCTCCCGTGTCTGATCTCGCTCTCTGCCATGATTGTCACCACCTCTCTCCCTGCCTCGCACGTGCTGTGTTTGCCTGTCTGTGTGGGTGTCCTTTGGGGAAGGGGCACAGGAGGGACTCACCCCCGTTCTTGCTGACGGGGAGTCACTGCACACACAGCCCACGTGGCCACCGCACTGCACACGTAGCAGCCGTGGTCCTGGCCACTCACTCAGCCGACCTGTTGACCCCTGAACCCCAGGAGCAGGGGCCTGTCAGCATGCTCCCCTCCCCCTCCTCGTAACTGTTGCCTTTTCTCTTTTGTCTTTGTCTTGCTTAGGATGCAAAGAAGGGACCTAACCCGCTCATGAGGCGCAATAGTGTCACCCCCCTAGCCAGCCCCGAGCCCACCAAAAAGCCGCGCATCAACAGCTTTGAGGAGCAAGTGGCCTCCACCTCAGCCACCCTGCCCAGCTGCCTGCCCCCGGAGGTGCCCACGCAGCTGCCTGGACAAGTCAGTGACCCCTTCTTTCCTTCCTGTGTGCCTGGGGGATGGCCTCGGGGCCAGGGCTGCCTGTGCACCTGTGTCTGTGAGTGTGCACATGTGGGTGTCTGTGTGTTTGTGCTGGTTGTGTGTGGGTGTCTGTGTGGTGTGGCTGTGTGTGCTGCAGGCGTAGTGTGTGTGCATGTGTGTTCTGTGTGTTGTGCGTCTGTATGGTGTTCCTGTATGTGCTGCAGGCGTAGTGTGTGTGCGTGTGTGTTCACATGTGTTCTGTGTGTTGTGTGTCCATGTGGTGTGCCTGTGTGTGCTGCGAGTGCTGTGTGTTACGTGTTGTGTGTGTGAGCTGTGTGCATGGGTGGGTGTTCCTGTGGCATATGTGTGCTGTGCATCGCATGTGTGGGGTCCGTGCACACACTTGTGTTGGGGAACATGAGGAGGAGGCTCCCTATGACCCTGAGTCACCAGGCTGCCTCCTTGCTGATGGTGGTGACATCCTGATGTGCGTGCTTCCTGAGGACCAGGCTTCACTGAGTAGAACCAGGCAGAGCTGAAGAGAGAGTGAGGTGTCCACATCCCAGTCAGGGTCAGGGTCGAGAGTTGTTTCTGAAACAGAGGAAGGAGCTCCTTTCCCACGGGCTTCCTTAGCTCCCCAGGTCAAAGGTTGTTGGGCACTGAGATTTGTTTCCAGAAAATCAGTCTTTTCCTCAAAGGCAAATATGTGGGATGTAGAAATCTCTGGGCTCAAATTCAGGTAGTGCACAAAGGTGTCCCCGCCTCCCACCCCAGCAGGCCCCGCAAATCAGCTCCAGCTCAGTTTCTGTAGATGCCCCCTCTGGGCCTTTCTCTCCAGCCACCCATCCTTCCTGCTTCTGCCTGGAGTGTCCTTAAACCTAGAGGTGTCTGGGCTGTGATGTAAGGAGGACCTGGTGGCCTCCGTTGGTCACTTGGTCCTCCAGGCCTCAGTTTTCTCACTCTTAGAGTGGGGGAAGAGCTCCAGCCACACCAGGCCAATCAGACAAGGCCCAGTCCACTGTTGGGTGTGTGGGGAGGGCGCATCGATGAGGGGAGACAGGTTTGGGGCCCAGCATAAGCGTGGTGCGTAATCGCCAGGGTCCATCACTGCCTCAGCCCTGACTCCGTAGTGTTACACGTGATGGAGTAGGACAGGGCTTTTAATAAAGGCCTCAAATCTGAGGTGGGTTGTTTTTTGAAAACTGAGGAGATCTGAAACGGTGTCTCTGTGACATTCTGTTCTGGTGTCAGTGTAGGGTGACAGTCGGAAGTCCGGAGGCCTCTGCTGTGATGTGTGAGGGGACCAGCATGTGTGTGGGTGACATCTGGAACTGCATGGGCCTCCATCATGGAGGACACAGCTGCAGGGGTCCCATGCTCTCACCCAGTGCAGAGCTGTCCTGACATTTGCAGGACAGTCCCTCAGGGTGGCCAGGTCCTCGGGGATGTGACCGCTGGCTGGGCTGGTGTGGGTGTGCTAGGCTCGTCCCACTGACTTCTCTCTCCGCTTCCTCCCTCGCAGCCTTTGCTAGGGCAGGCCTGCCTGTAAGTATCTCTCTCGGCGTGTCTCTGCCGTCCCCCCAACCCGCCCCCCCGCTTCAAAGCCTGTCTCCCACCTTTCAGATTCTGAGGTTAGGGACAGTTTGTGTGAAGTCTGAGGTCTTTAGGGGGAAGGAGAGACGTGTCCAGGAGGTGGAAGGAAGAGGATCTCTGTGGATCTGGCTGGATATAGCTCCTGAGTCCATCTCACTTGGTCTCCCCTTCCTTGGCCCTGAGCCTTCTGCAGAGTCTTGGGGATGGCATTGCCACATACAGTCCCCAGATAGGTACCTCAGTGCCCTGAGGCCCATTTGCAGAAGCTGAGGCCTGCCTGTCCCAGAGCTTTGACGGCAGCTCCGCGAGATGTCACTCTTTGTTCCTCAAGTCGCACTGCCCTGTCGTTCCATTTTTGCTCATCAGCATAGCCCTGAGATGCTGGAGAGTGAGGCTTGTGTCTGGACTTGCACTGGGCTCAGGGCGTGGTGGTGCCATGCAGTGAGAGGCCCCTGCCGAGTGCTGCAGCGCCCGGAGAGTGTGCTGGGTGCCCGGCTGCCAGTCCCTGTTCCCCAGATGAGGGCTGAGGCCAAGTGTTTGCCCCGCTTTTGGAAAGCTGATCCTCCCTGCAAGCTTCTAGGGGCAGCCAGGGCACTTCTGTCCCGAGGCTTTGCCTCTGCAGCCTTTAGGCCACTGCTGGACCCCACGAGCCCCCTGCAGCCCATCCCTTGTAGCTGCATCCACAGCTGAGGTTTGCTTACCTGGTGGGGGGCCCGTCAATGTCCACCTTCCAGGAGAGAGGCACATGTTCCCACGGGCTGGTGCCCTTCCTCCCCTGCTGTGCAAAATAGAGCATGGGCTGCTTCCCGGGTAGGGGTCTGCTCGTGTGAAACCAGCTGCTGGGTTTGGAACCCGCCTCCGTGCGTGTCCTGCTCCTTCCCACCTAAGGCCTGATGTTGCCAGGAGAGAAGTCTTCCTACTGGGCGGCTCCATGTGGCACATTCCCTGCTCTGTTAGCAATGAGCTTGACTAGCTTGTTTATCGCTTGACTAGCAGAGCTCATATCACAGTGTGCTCGGCCTGAGCCCCTCCCGCTCAGTGAAAATACCTCCCTCCCACCCCTCTGTCATCATGTCTGATTCTAAGAATTGACCTGGTCCCTGTGACCAGAATTATGATGTAGGTCAGACTGAGCCGGGGTTACATCTTGCTTGGTTCCTTTGTCGGCCTCTGTCTTTAGAACTCTGGGCATGTTTTTGAGCCGTTCCAGGACTTTAATGTCCTCACCTGTAAAGCAGAGGCAATAACTTTTTTTTTTTGAGACAGAGTCTTATGTGTTGCCCTTTGTAGAGTGCTGTGGCGTCATAGCTCATGGCAGCCTCAAACTCTTGGCTCCCTGGTAGAGTGCCCCGACTCGGCCCTGTGCCCTGTCTCACCACAGCTGTGCCCCTGTCCGAGACTGAGATGCCCCTTGTTCCTCATGGCATAACCTTCATTTCTAATTTTCTAATGCACATGGGGAGGAAAATCCTACTAAAGGTTTTTTTCCCCCCTTTTTCCAACCTGTTTTCCTCTTCCCTACTATGCTTGAAAGACGAAGTGTCTGTCACATTTTCTCAAAATTCTCTCCTTACTGACCTCGGAAGGTAAATGCCTGGGTGCATGTCCCCATCCCCCTGCGTCTCCCGAGTCGTGGCATCGTGGTCTGTGTACAGACCAGCCATTGTGCACTCTGTGGCTCATTGTCTCAGTGGGAGGTGTTGACAGCAGCAGCTATCATCATGAGGTCTCTGGTCTCCCCCGATATGTGCTGAGCTGGGGTCCCTCCCACGTGAATGACAGGGACAGCCCTGGCCTTGGGGTTCTCAGTGTCTTGCTTCACTGTCATTTGTGGGTGCTGGAAGCCGTGGGCTCTCGGTGTGGCCGGCAGGTTGGAGCCAGCAGCTGTGGCTGGGAGGGCAGCACTCTTGACCCCAGCTGGAGCTCCTGTCACCTGGGTCTTGCCCTGTCTGGGTAAAGCCTGTGCTGCTACCAGCCTTGTGCTTCTGCTCCCTGGGGGCATCTCCGGCTGGGGCCCTGGGTCCATGTGGGATGGGAGTGGGCTCTGTGCTCTCCCCCCACCCCCTCCAGAACAGTCTTGTTAGAAAGGCTCAGGGGCACAGAATACTTTTAAAAATTGTTTTTTAATTGAGTGGTAGATTAAAGAGGTTGAAAAGACCCCTGCCTTGCCATGTTCCTCTGCCCCTAGCAGTGTTAATGTTTTTTTTTAAGCATACCATTTGGGGGGAGGGGACAGAGACTGAAGGGAAGTGGTGTCAGACCACCCTGCACAACTGGTGTACAGCTTTGAGGGGGCTTTGATACCTGGCCAGGGCCTTAGGGGAGGCGCTTCCTGCCTGCCGCAGGGATCAGAGCTGGGTGTTGCTTTAGTGACAGGCCTCTGCCTGGCTCCTGCCTGGGTCTACCCGTGTGTCCAGCCATCCCGTGCACCATCTGTGTTCTACCTGTTGAGCTGTGTTCTTGGATTCTGGATGCATGAGGCTTCTGAGGGCACTGAGCCACCCACTGCTGTCCCTGAGCAGCTCCAGCGTGGCCACTGAGCTGCCTGGTCCCCAGCCACACACACACACCTGCCTCCACTCAGGCCTCCAGCCTCCTGCCCAGCCCTTCCTCTCTGTGACTCTTGGTGTTATTTTCCATTACGTTCTGGGACCCCTGGCTGCTCCCCACCTGCTGGGCTGATGACACTTGTCCTGGGGACAGGGAGGGAAGACATCTCGTTGCATGACTTTGAGTCTTCTGCCTACGACACGGGCCGGCAGCAGACCTTGACCCCCGCTTCCCCTTTTCTCTCCTGGAAACAGAACATGAAGGGCTCGCGGAGCAGTGCCGACCCCTCCAGGAAACACTGAAGCAGACGCGGCGGGTGGTTCCATTCCATTTCCATTTCTGCAGCTTAGCTTGTGCCCTTCCATCTACCCGAGGCCAAAACGATCCCAAGGACTTCTGGAGCAGGCTGGGGTGCGGGAGAGGCTCAGGGGTCTGACTGGAGAGACCTGTGCACGGCATGGGTTAGGCCAGACCCCAGAAAGCCACGCAGGCTCCAGCTTCCTGCCCTGAGCTGCAGGCCCCTCGCCCTGTGCTCTCTCATCTTCCAGGGCTGTCTGGCCTTGCCGACCCTTCAGATGTTTGGGGAGACTCTGAGTAGAGGGAAGGAACGTGGGTCCTGAGGAGGGCCCTGGGGCTGCTGTGTTCTTTGCTTTTGTGATCTTGGCCTGGCATAGTTGGAGCTAGTGAGATGACACTGACAGCAAATCCTAAAATTAAAGGATGCCAGATCCCAGCAGCTGAGGATGGGACAATGCCTTGGGGGGCAGCCCTGGACAGGTGGAGGTTTGGGGCCTCTCCTGCAAGGAGTCCCCGAGGTGAGCAGAGACATGCTGTCGACACGTCCATACACCTGCCTGGGCCTCTGCTTCTGAAGATGTTTTGGGGACAGGGTGGCCTTGCCAGCAGAGGAAGTACTTTGCTGAAATCCAGGACCCAGTGCCGTTCTCCTTCTCCCTGGACTCGGAGGTACTGAGAGAATCGCCCTCCTGGAGCTGCTGGTGTTTGCACTTTGTCATGGCAGAAGTGTGATCTGACAGTCACACTTTCTCTTCTGGAACTTAGACGCTGGGGGGTTGCACACTTGGAGCTTGGAGCCCTAAATGAGAGTGTGGAGCATGGCCATGACGGGGCAGTTTGGAGCACGTGGATCCTTGAGAGACTGACATGGCCAGATGACAGGGAGGAGAATGCCTGGACTCCTTCCCTTAGGACTGGCATCATTGCCCAGGTTCCCAGGTGGTGACAATCTCTCAGTTGAGGCCTCGTTCCAGGGCACTTCCTCCAAGAGGCTGTCTGCACACTTTTTGGTGCATCTGACATGGGCCTGGAGCTGTGCCAGGTGCCCCGGGGGAAGCCGGAGGAGTGGAGCCCAGCCTTGCCTTCACAGCATCTGTGACATTTTCATGGTGGCTGAAAGCAGAGCTTATGGGACACCGGTGGTTTCTGCCTGTTGGTTTCTCCTTGCTCCTTGGAATCCTGGGGGAGGAGTGGGTGTCTCATGCCCAGAGGAAACAGTTTAGAAACTCACAAGAGAGTTTGTCCAAATGACCCTTTTCAGGGTGTCTCAAAGCTGGTGCCAAAGGTCACTTTCCTTTCCTGCCTTCTGCTGGAGACCCTGAGGTCCTCCCAGCTCAGGGGGACAGGTCCGGGGCTGGGGGAGCTTCAGAAAGACTCGTTTGCCTGGTTGGGATTAGCAGGGGATGAGGCTGTGCTTCAGATACCGTCCAAGCACATTCTCAGCCTCCCTGCCTGCGAGGATGCCTGGACGTCCATCCCCAACAGCTTTCGACTTGGGTCCCTTCCCCTCTCCGTGTCCTTAGTCTTGTCAGATTGTGTGTGGTGTGTGTACATGCGCGCGCGAGTGTGTGTGGCTTGGTCATGTTTTCCCGTGTTAGGGGCTGACAGCCTTGTGTCCCAGGGCGGTGGCTCATGTCCTTCTTTCTGCCTTGTTCTTTGAATGTCCACGCAGGCCTTGATGAAGGCAAGTCTCCCTTCTATCTGAAACCAGTATGTCAATGGAGAAGGCTGGCCTGACATAGGACTTTAATCTGGGAGAGGCCCGGGTGGGGAGAGACTGGACGGGGATCTGGGAGGACGGGCTGTGCTGCTTGAGTGCAAGCCGGTGACCTGCCTGTCTGGTGGCCTCGGGTTGAAGGTGAGCGTGGGCGACTGTCCTGGGACTTTGGCTGCTACAGGTCCCCCCTGAACCTTCTCAAAACAGACTAACTGGGACCAATATTTCTAACTTTGCATATTTGTTTTTGAGCGGGCTCCCCCCTCCTTACTCTGTCCTGAGGCCCTGGGCAAAGCTCTTTATTCTGAGGGAGAAGAGGAACTCTTGGAACCACACCAATGATGTTTTCGTTTGTAATACTTGAAATTTATTTTTGTATTATTTTGATAGCAGATGTGCTATTTATTTATTTAATATGTATAAGGGAGCCTAAAGCGTAGAGTGCTGTCTAGATGGGGTGCAGTCGTAATGGGTTTGGGTGCCTTCTCCGTGTGACTCGCCACTCCTCTGTGCTCTGTAAACCCGTCTGAACGAGTGACCTGGGATAAGGCCACGCCAGCTTTCAAACAGGCGATGCCTTTCAGAAATTTGTATATTTTGCAGTTGCCAGACCAATAAAATACCTGGTTGAAATGCGCTGGTGAAGTGCTCCTCTGACCCTTTCTTTGAGGGGGGATGAATTACAGTCAGTGCCCAGGGGAGTGGCACCTGCCACCATGTCATCCTCCAAACAGGACCTTCAAGCACAGAGCTGCATTCATGGCAGAAAGAGCTGATTTTGTTTAATCAACCAACATGGTTGTCTAGCATGCTTTGGGGTTGACAGGATGGAGCAGGATGCAGAAGGGGGCTCCCATACACCCACTGGCCGGTGGCTATCCTGTCTGGTGCTGCTCAGGGCTCTCTTGGGTGCATGCCTGTCACAGTTGGCAGGCCTGCAGCGGCACAGCATCGGGCCAAGAGCCTGTGGTTTGTATCAGGGTTCTCATGCTTTGCATTGCCCGTTCTATGGGTCTGATATGCCCTGTGCTGTGGATCTGCTGTGGCCACCGGTGCAGAAAGTGTGGCTGTCCACGCCCTCCCTAGGCCTCCTAGTGGCAGTTCTCATGCCACCATGGTGCTGTCACAGCCCCCTGCCCCTTCCCTTCCATCCTCTTCCAAGGTGGGACAGGTGATGGGACAACGAGACTGAGCTGCTGTGGCTGCTTCCCACTCGGTGATGGGCAAGGTCGGGCCATTAGTTCACTTGTGAGCCTCAGTGTCTTCATGACCACAGACTGGGTGGCTGAGGCCGGGGACATGGTACTGGGGAAGCCCAGAGCAGGGACTTAGGACTTTGTCCAAAGGGACCTGCACCATCCCTGTGTGGTCTGATACATTTTTTCCCCCCTGGAGTCCCTACAGCTACGTTCCAGAAATAGTCTTGACACCCAAATTAGTGTTTCTTCCTGCCTTTTTCCAGCCCAAGCTGTGAAGAGCTGCTGTCAGCAATCTGGCACCTCCATTTGGAGATGACTTCCAGGGCTGACAGGTGCAGGGGTAGAGCACACACAGTAACACCCAGAAGATTAGACTTGTCTGTAAGACGTTGTGTATATATGTTAAAGTGCTTGGCCTGCTGGGCTGCGGGAACCTACAGGGGTTCCACTAACTTTTGGGCAAGCTCTGAGATTGATCTGGGAGACTCTGAGCAAGACCTGCAGCCCTTGACTGACTGTAGAAGAATCATGATTGTGGGGGATTGTGTCAGAGGACGAGGCGCCAGCAAGGGGTGTGCCAGAAGAAAATATCAAGATCCTAAATCTGAGTCCAGACGCTTTGTGGCTCTTTCTGCCCTGAAAATCACACAAGCAATTCCCTGGTAGCAGATACTGATACCACATACTGATGGCTGTGGCGCTAAGGCCTTGGTGCAAATTCTCATACCTGGTCCTTGGCGAGTGCCCAAGGACAGATGGTCTGTCTCACAGATAGGGAACTGGAGGCTTCCTGAAGGTGAGCAGTCACCTAAGGCCACCTGGCGGGTAAAGCACAGGGATTCGGTTCCAGGTGTCTGTGACTCTGAGGTCTGTGGCTGTCACCATGACAGTATGTACCTCGAGTATTTCTGCAGTCCTCAGCTGGCAGTAGGTCAGGCTGGCAGGCAGGTCAGCCTAAGGCTGCTGGCCGGGACTGGGAGGTGGACTCTGTCCTTCCATGCCCTTCCCCCACCCCGTGGCAGCAGAGCCCAGGTGGTGGTCAGATGGCCAGAGTCTCTGGGAGAAGGTGGGAGCCCTGCCCCCTGATTTTGGAAATGCAGAGGTAATATCCAGAACTCATCTTGACTGTAGCTCCTCCCACCAAGAATTCCCAAGAGGCAACAGCAGCTTGGTGTCACGTGCCTTCTGCTGTCAATGAGCCCCTCAGTGGCCAATGGGTGGGCGGCAAGTGGGGGCTGCGGCAGCGACTGAGTACTTGCTTCTGAAGGCCTGTTGCCCTGAAAAGGCCTCCATGGAAGACGGAGTGTGGCCAACACTCTTGTCTGGGTCTAGATCCACGGGCCAGGAGAAGACCCTGCCAGCTCAGCTGGGTCTCAGCTCATTCTGTGCTCAGCCTGGTCCCCCAGTTTTCAGTCAGCCTCTTGAGAGTGTTTTTGCTAAGTGTTATTTAATAAATAGTAATGGGAGACTTGGTTAGCTACTTTTTTGGGGGGGGGGGAGACTAATTAGATCATAGCATCTACCATATGCGTTAACCTATGTGTTTCAGAAACAACCAGACCATTAAAAAGGAGAGGGACCCTGGCAAACCGTTTTTAGATGAGAAAAGACCAAGCTTAAAAGCAATGAAAACAAATACCAAGGAATTAATCATTAGAGATTCCACAATCTCCATGTTCAAATTCAAGGTCATTAAAAACCACCCCAATCAGAAGGAAATCAGTATGTTAGGAACATATTTGCAACAAACTTGACCCCTCAAATTATAAGTCAGTAACATACCCAGAGTAATAGAAAAACACCGAGACTCTTACAGATACTTGGATGAAGTTTGCGATTTTTCAAGACTAAAGGGGGGTGGAATGAGGGGCCTTACGCACGGCCTGCAGTTGCTGAGAGGTGGCCCACCTTGGACCCTGGCACCTTCTGATCCAAAGCTGCCTCATTTAGAGATGAAACAGACACACACCAGATTAGAGTCTCCAAACATCCTCCCTGGCAAGAATACGTGCGGAAATGGGCCCCCAAGTGGCATGCCAATGCACATGCACATTGGCCGGTGGGTGAGGGGGCCACGTTCAGATAAAACCTGGGTTATCTGTATACAGTTGACTCTCCAACAACTCAGGTTGGGCTGCACAGGTCAGTCCAATGAGGCAGCAAGACCAACCCCGCCCTTCCTTTTCCTCCCAGGATGGAGCCCTGGTGATAGTCCACTTCCACTTAGGAGGGAATATGTTCTCTCTTCCTTATGATTTTCTTAACATTTCCTTTCCTCTTGTTGCTCAGTGTGACAGCAGAATAAGATAACATAGCTACAAAGTGTGCATTAATCACCTTGCTGCCCGTGTTGCTCACGGGTCCGCTGCACTCGTCTGTCATTCATCTGTCATCCACATACTTGTCTGCCTTTATCAATTCTAATTAAGTTTCTGAAACCCGAGGAATGCCTTTGAAGACAAAGGTGTGTGTTGACGGGAGGCTGCAGGCTGCATATGTGGGGCCCCGCCCTGGCACCTGGTCTTGCTGAGATGCTCAGTTGAGTCGTGTTGGGGTGAAGGGTTCTGAATGCTGACCCCTCCACTACCACACACTGTAGACCTCACTGCTCTCTCCATCTGCTTCCTCAGAGCCCTCCTAACTCATCTCCTCGGCCTTTCAAGGTTCCCACGCTGGCCACAGGGCACCCAGCTTCTGCCTCTGGGCGACAACCGGCCCTGGAGACAGGTGCTTTGTCCTTTTGAACACTGGCCTTTAACCCGCAGCAGGACAGGCCCTGCTGGGAACAGGCCTGATTATGCCAATTCTGGCCACTCAGCCTTTTGACCTCCTAGCTGGGGCCCCAGCCAAATGGGATTGTGGCCGAGCAGTGAGAGGTCAGAGCCCATCAGTTTGAATTCAGTGACTCTTATTCAGTGTCCCCCATTGCAGCTGCCTGGGGAAGATTTCAAAAATGCACACATTCCAGTCTCCTTCTGGGAGGCTGTGATATAATTCAGGGGTTCGAGGCATCTGGGTTTTTGTGTAGGGGTAGTGATGGGGCCCTATACAATTCTGAGAGATACTGGCTGAGGACCACTGGCTCAGGCTGACCATTGTAAGTAAAGAAGGGCAGAGTGTACACATGGTGTGAATTATCTCAGCTGGTCAGTCTCCTAAAGGCAGAGGACAGAAAGGTGGTTACCAGGGACTCAGGAACTGCCGTGCAAGGGGAATAAGGTCCCAGTTATGCAGGATGAGATTTCCAAGTTCCAGGAAGTTAAGTTTGCAAATTCCCAAGAGCTGAGTCACCATGGAGAGGACCCTGCAGGTGTATCCTTGTGGTCTTCTTGAGAAGACCTGTTCTCCTAGCTCTCACCCTTCTCAGGGATCCTCTCTCACTATTGCATTGTGAATAAGTGCTCAGTCCCCGGGTGGTGGGGGGCACAGGTGAGCCGTCCATATTGAGTTCTCTGAGGCCCGAACTTGAGCTGTAGCCAGCAGAGTAACTTTACCATGGACACATTGGCCCCTCTGTCCCACCATGTTCCAGGTATATGGCCAGAAATAAGTTACTTCATGTTTTTTTACCTTGTTCCCCTATTTACAAAATGGGGAAACACACGCCATATTTTTTAATTTTGAGATTCACCATCCATGTCTTAGCTTGTCATGTAAAACAAAGCCAACCATGAGTACACCCGGTGCTAGATGCAGCTGGATTTCACGTGTGTTAAATGTAGACGGAGATTCTTCTGGAAGTGCAGGAATGCCTTCATTATTTTTCAGGCTTGTGAGGGCTCAGTCTCATGAATGAAATGCTCTTGACAGTTGCTGAGCCCACAGGGCCCTGGATTGGTAGTAGTTAATCTGATCGTGTGTGCCGGGTGCTTGGGACCGAAGCTGAGAGAACTTGAGGGTCCTGGTTGGCTGTAACTTCGGGTGGGACCTGGTGCCTTAGGCTCCCCGCAGCCTGAGATGGCTCTGCCTGATGACTCACCAGACCACAGGAATGGGAGTTGAGTGGTGTGTTAATTAGCAAACAGGCTTTTGTATGTCCCCAGGGCGGTGGGGGCCGTGGAGACCCGCCGTCAGCATTCAAATTAACAGCAGACTTTCTGGAAGAGATCATAACTCAGAATGCACAACCTTGGAGACCAGATGCCCAAGCTCTAAGGCTGTGTGTTTTTCTCTCACCTCTCCCACTCAGGGCCTCCAGACTCATGTCCTTGGGATGTCCTATTCCTGGGGACCAGGACTCACTCTAAGACTCTCTGCACCTGCATAGGTGATTTTAAGAAAATAACTTTTTGTATCCTCACCATCTATATTCACACCTTTCTACAACAGTCTAAGAAATTTGCTTTGTAAACAAAAGGGGAGACCTACACTCACCCCCAGGGCAGCACCTCCGGGGCATTGCCCCCCGGGATGGTGTCATACCTTTCTGTCTTTC